GAGGACCGAGCCCTGGGGTACCCCACTGCTCACATCTCGCCAGGTTGAGTGCGACCCGTCTCTGGGTGTGCCCCATCAGCCAATTTTTTACCCGTCCAACTGTGCAGGCATCAGTGAGGATTGATGAGGATGGGGTGAGAGGCAGTGTCAAAGGCCTTCTTAAAGTCTAGAAAGACTATGTCCACAGCGACACCATCATCCAAGGATTCAGGCCCCCCACAGATATGCTCTTTGATGATCCTCTCCGAGAGCTTCCCGAGCACCGAGGTGAGGCTTACAGGCCTATAATTACTTGGGTACTCCTTCCTCCCCTTCTTAAAAATAGGGACCACGTTAGCCAGTTTCCAATCCCCCGGCACCTGGCCAGATGACCATGAATGCTCATACAGCTGGGCCAAAGGCTCCGCGATGACCCCTGCCAGCTCCCTCAACACCCTTGGGTGGAGGGCATCTGGACCTGCAGATTTAAAAATGTCTAGCCCTTCCAGAAGATCCTGAACTACATCTGCACTGACTAAAGGCTTGATAGAGCTATCCCCAAGATTGTCCCTACCTCTGGTAGGTGGGATATCCTGGTCCCTGTTCAGGAAAACAGAGGCAAAGAAACTGTTTAAAAATACCAGCTTTCTTGTCTGGCATGGCCACCAGATTACCGTTTGTGTCTTGCAGGGGCCCTACATTGCCTGGTGTGCCCTCTTCTTGCTCCCAATGTACTTGAAAAAGGATTTTTTGTTGTCCTTAATCCTGGACGTTAGCCTGAGTTCCATCTCTGCCTTGGCCTTCCTAATAACCCTCCTACACTCCCGGGCCGAGGAGGAGTACTCCTCCTTGGTGATAGTTCCTCCCTTCCACTGGTTGTACGCCTCCCGTTTAGTTATAGGTTGATATTTAGTATCAGTCACTGAGGAAATACCTTGCTTTTCAGACTTATTACTGGCTTCTGCTCTTTATTTCTACATTCTTCTTTGACTTAGTAAGTCTCCTTTCTTTTTTGTGTGTTAATTTGTACAGCAAGTCTCAAATTGACTGAGGTCTTTGCTGCAGCTCTTTACCTCTTCCTATTGCTGTCAGTGAACAGAAATGAAATAGTTAATTTTAATAGCACCAAAATCTAATGATGTTACTTCAACATGATAGGTGAGATCAATGAGGTCATCAAAGTGCTGGTACTTCTGAGTCAGTGCTGTCATTGCAGTGTTGTTTTCCTGCATTGGGATCAGTTTGTCCTTGGGTTACAAAGGTAATCCTCTATTAGGGTTAGGTACTTAGTTGTTTTTAAACAAGTGAAAGCTTTTTGCAAAAAACCCCCCAAAACCTAAAATGTCAGTCAGACTGCTTGAACACCCCACACTGAATGTTTCCGGTCTGCAAGCCTGCTTGCTGGACTTACTTCAGTCGTTATGAATTCCTAGATGGGATTGGACAATTATCTAGTCTAGTACCTTGAGAACATGTTAGGAAAAACAAAAATTCCCTTATGTGTTTGCTCAAGCAACTGACACACTGGATATGAGAGGGGGAATTAATTCCTTATTTCAAACAGTCCAGGCTCTGAAGGAGGAGACTTGTTTGCTCTACTCTGACCTTAGTTTTTCATAACTGCTTATCATCTCCTGACTCTCATTGCTATAGAGCCTTACTTAATCACTTGTTAAAGAATTACACAATGACTTGTTGATCAGGTTTTACCGTGTAGTCTGTATAAACTTGAATAGCACAGTTAAGCTGCCTCTGACTTGTGATTTCCATGGCCTCTTACCCTCCAAATGCAACAGTACCTCTAATTATCCTGGATAGATAGGCTTCTTTGGACTGTTTCAAAGACTTAAGTGTTTTTTATGGGCCAGATGGGTGCACTGGCTTACTGATTAAGTAAAAATAATAAGTCCCTGGTCACTCCTGGAGTTTAGGAAAGAGAACATTGGTAGTCCTGCCTGAAATACCTTCTGCTGGCCAGCTGAATGCTTCCCTGTCCTTTGACAGAATAGATTTTCAGAATGTTTGTACTACTGATGCATAACCAGACTGGAACTGTCATCTGATTGTGAAAGAACTTCTTTGACTGGATTTTGGGCAAGATCTATTGATGTAAATGCCAACAACGAGTGAGTAGATAAGGTCGAGCAGTAGGCTTGATGGGATGGAAGTAAGATGGGGAAAGATGGGTTTTGTTTTTTGTTTTGTTTTGTTTTGTTTTTACAGGGTAGTCTGCCAAAAGAGTGATGGAAGCCCCATTGGTCAGGATGCTTAAAATAAGTTTGGGCAAAGCACTGTTGTAGGAAGAAATGTGCACTGAGCCTTGGGTGGATGGATGTCCTAGAATTAGTGCAGACCAAGAACTGCTTAGTCTGCCTGTCCAGTACTTGGGATATGTAAAGAATTATGTGTATGATTAATATATTAGAGGGGTCATGTAGATTTTTGTTTAAATTTCAAATGTTACTTCTGCGTAGTTTCTCTTTTCATTAAAAAGAAAGCCGTGATGCCAAGTAAACAACTTGACTTGCTGTCTAAAAAAATTTGGGCTACTCTTAAACCAAACTACTAGAGCTTTGTTAAACGTGGCATGGAAACCTGGAATTTAAGTTGTGGTTTTGCAAATGAGAAAAATTAATCCACTTGAGGATAGTGTTTAAGCTTTACATACTCGGTTGGATACCTTTTTGTTGATGTTTTGATGCAATGCATAAATATATCCAAAATGATGGAAAATACCTCTATAGCCAATTCAGTGTAATGAACACTAGCTGACTTGCAAAACAAGTCACATGTAGGATTACTTCAGTGTGCTGCAAAGAAAGGCATTGCTGCCTTGTGATAGAGATGGGCCTGTGAAAGAACTGTTAATCCTGTTTTTCACAATATTTTTAAATTTCCCGAGCAGTTTACTATAACCTCTGTTACAGAAGCGACAGGATGATGTGACTTAATTTTATGTTGCATGTGTCACGTATTTCACAGACTGCCAGTAAAACTGAAAGGTCAGCTTTAAAGCCAATGTTGCACTTATTAGGTGAAAACAGAGAGGTAGAATGATGGTGTGTGTTAATTGCTGGTCATGGTAGAATTAAAGCTGTGACTCTGCTTTAACCACTCAGGGCTGAGTAGGAAGCTTATAGTAGGTTTCTCCTTTGGGGCAATCCCATTGAGTAGTAGTAAATACAAGTACCAGGAAGAATTTCTTGAAACCATTAGAATTGTAGTAGAGAGAAGCTGATTACTCTTACAGACGTAGAGCACATCTGTCATTCAGGTGTTTCTCAGACAGATGAAAAGATCTAACCTGTGCAAAGAACAGGTACCTTTTATCATTCAGACTTCAATCAGGGGTCAAGGCTGTCAGTGACACTCCTCCGGTGAAGAACTCTTTGTACCTGGCATTTTGGAGAGAACAAAGGCCTCTCTTGTTTCTCCTGGACAGAAGTTGATCTTGATCAGGAAAAAGGAAGGGGAAAAGTTTACAAATCTTTAAATTGATGATGTAACCTACTCTCCTAATGTTTCATAAAAGCTGTTATATTTAGAACAACTTAACTGTAGTTCTGTATCTCACTTGACTTCCAGGTGCTGGGCTGGCTCAGTCTCAGGGCAAGTGTGTTGTTTAGGGTCTGCATAATATAAAGTAATAGTTCATAGTAGTATAGACCATGCTTCTTCTTGAGATTCAGACTATGGCCCTGTCGCGAGTTGGGGTGGTTAAGAACATAGCCAAATAATTTCATTAAAACTGTTCTCAGCTCTTCAGAAGTTGAGTAGAATATAATGTTTATTCCTTTCAGTGCATGAGCAACAGTGACTTGAAATGTATGCTCTGCGGTAAGATTTTATTCTTTTAAAATCCTCCTAAGCGCATTAGCATTTTATGACCAGAAGAAAATCTCTGAAATACCAGTCAGAGTTTAGCCTCAAGAAAAAAGTCTTGGTGTTTTCCTAAAGCAGCTTACTGGTCAGTGAGAGTTGGAATGAATTTTGAATACAGCTCTGTGCTGCCTGTCCTTCAGGTAAGGGAAGCAGACAGGGTTTTTCTCTTAGTCTTTTCCCTGTGAAAGTGTGTTGAGGAAAACAGACTGTGAACTCACATTGCCTTGTGTCTCTTAATTGTCCAAGCTGTATTTTCCCCAGCTAGGTATAGTCTTGTGTGGCGTTGATGCGTATTGGTTTCACTTGGGCAGGTGTATTTGTTCTGTTTGGTTTGGTTAATTGAATAATGTCTGTTCTGAGGGGGGAAAAAAAGATCTTACTATAAAGATTTTAACAATGGAGCGGCAAGGGGGATTCAGGATCTGAGCATCACAAATGGAGCATGCAGCTTTCCTGCATTTAACTTTAAGAAATATCTTCTCTGAGTGAGTGGCACTCCTATGCCAGAGAGCCTGCACGCACTCCAAGTACCACTTAAACCCTGTTTCAGGAACTGAAGTGGTGCAGAGGCGGTAAGCTGCCAGTGTGTACCAAGGTACATTTCACCCTTCACTCATGCATAGCTTGTTAATCTTCAAACGTTACTTTTACCTGTTGCGAGCCAAATACATTGAAAAAATGAAGTCCTTAACAGTTGAGTCTAGAACTAGCAACTGGTGATTTTAATTTGACTAATGCTGTAAAGTGATTTGGAGGTGGTGGGCTTTATATAAATACCAGCTTGGTTAAGCTCTGTTTGCGTGCTGGTCTGACCTCTGAGTTCCCTCCCCAGCCTGTTAAGGAGGGCCAGACTCAGTGCTTCTTGGAGACCTGGCCCTGAATGGTGACGGAACAAGCTGGAGGAGTTATGAAGACCGGTGTCTGCCCCATCTCTGAAAATCTTATGGCCTAAATTTGATTCCCTGCCCTGTTATCTTTTTCCCTCTAACTGTGTTATGATACCCTAAAGCACAGTGGCTTCATAATTAGAGCATCTTTCTCCATATATTTATTTTGCCTGGCTTTCACCAAATTTTGCAAGTGTACCTTGGGACTGGAGTGTTCACAAGAGATTACAGTACTTTGCATTTGCGTGTGAGATGAGCAAGTCTTCAACATATTGATGCTAACAGTTCCTGTTTGTTTCTCTTTTCCCCACAGGACTATTTTCCTAGTATTGCTGTTTTCTCAGTATGCCAGGAATGTCAAATTTCCTTTACCGATTTACAAATCCAAAAAAGGATGGACAGCTTACAGGCTGCAGCTCTTCAAAATGTTTCCTGTAAGTCATTGCATATGTTTGTTCACTTAACAATAAGATAACAGGGGAAAAGATCGCTGGGGAAAATGAAATCTGAGGAGAACCATTTTTTTTTTTTTTTTTTTTTTAAACTTACAACAGTTTTGATTTTCTTTTGTATAAGCCATTTGGCAGATCTCACTTGCACATAAGATGAAATTATAGGCACTCTTTTAACAAGTCTATCTAAAGAATGTGGACACAACCCTTTTAGCTCTGCGTAATTTATCTTGGATTTTATAACTAGATTGGTGTCTGGAGTGGACATGTAGAGCCAGGTAGCTGTCTTGTGTGGATGCTATTACAGTTCCTCACTGCAAGGTGGCAGGGGAGCCAGTAATTGCTTGTTTGCAATTAGTAAAAAGCTGCCCCAGAATGAAATAACCTAGCACTGCAATTACATGACTGGTAGCTTGGTGTGTTACTCTTTGTTTTCTGAGGAGCAACCTTTCTCTGGAGTAGAAAGCCTTATCATGGTTCTGGCTATACATTGTCTGTCTACTCCACTTGTACTCCGGAGTAAAGAGGTTGTACGAATCCACCCTCACTATGTCATTTAGTAGAAAAAATGTCAGTGAACTCTAGCAACATAGTTCCCAGTCCTGCACCTGGTTTCATGTGGGCAGACCCTTTCCCCTATGCAGAGCCAGTTATAGAGCCATGACTCTGGAGTGCGTGCCTCATAGCTTAAATTAATTCCTCTAAGCAGGTGGTGGTTTTCTGTAAGAGCTCATTTGACTTTTCCTTGATGAAAGGATTCCTTTTTTTTCTGTTAACCTAAAAACTAGTTCAGTAGTCCCGTAAGTGCTTATTTGGCCACATTCCCATTTTTAAGGAGGAGAGAAAATCTACTTTGCATGAACAAAAGCTTAGTTTTATTAAAGGAAAAACTACCTAACCACCCCGTTTTAGCATTTATCATCTCGTCAGCCTTGAAATTCTTGTAATATGTAGGTAATAGATACCCTGTGCTCAACATTTCTTTGTTGATAATTGGTAACTAGCTTGTGTACCTGAGAAGGCTTTCTTTTTCCCTCCCACTACAGATTATTCTAGCTATCCTGGTGTCATGGTTGCTTTGCTTCATCTTTACTGTGACTGACGTCTTTCCCCCCGACAGCGCAAAGTATGGCTTCTATGCTCGCACAGATGCAAGACGAGGAGTGCTGTTAGTGGCACCGTGGTTTAAGGTCCCTTATCCTTGTAAGTGTGTTTCATATATGTTTGCCTGGGCTTGGAACAGACTTGTCGAAATGGGGCATTTTAAATGTTGCTGTAGAGCCCCGCCTTGGATAAAAGCAAAGTAGGTCTCGGCAGCTCTCTGGAACGAGACTCTCGCAGCACTTACACGCATGCGAGGAGCCTGCTCCAACACTCTGGAAATCCAGTGCATCAGAGCAGACTCAATTAATCAAGTCTCCTGGAGCACGTAAATTGATGTGCTCTGGCAGCCTCGTGTGTTACGTGCATCAGTGATTCAGCGCATCTCCGTGCTGAGCAAGTGGCAGCAGTGCACTTTGAACTAAAACACATTCGATGTGCTTTAGCTTAAAGCACGCCACCACCATTTTCTCAATGCGGAGGTGCACTGTGCTGCTGAAATACGTGATGTGCGGGCATTTTTAAGTAGTGCAGCTCGCTAATTAGAAGTGCCTGGCGCTGTGTTGGAAGCACATGTAAAAATGTCCTCTGCCCACAATTTCATTTGTGGCAATGGGAGTGGAGGATGCCCAGAACCTTGTAAAATAGACCTACATAACTACAGGTTTTAATAACTGCCATCCATTTTGTGCATTTTTTCTAACAAAGGGACTCGCATACTAATAAATATGGCAAAAAAACCCTCTACTGGCATGATAACATAGGGTTGGTTTCATTCTCCTTGCTGTTACTGCAGTGTGTTGGCCAGCAACCTGTCACTTGAATATACACTATTGCCAGTGTATGATATTGTTGATATAACAAGTATATGCAGCTTCTGTAAAAGCAGCCTAAATAACTGCTTTTTATGTTACTTAAACAAATCGGGAGTAGGCACAGGGTTCAAACAAAGTGCCTTTTTTTCCTCGTACGTTTTGAATTATGCAAACAATTTCCAAACTTCAGAAGTTAAAGATGGGCAGGAAAAATGGCGGCTTCTTGACTTACAAGAAGTGCCAATGGCTCATTGATTTCTACTGCCATCTGGGTTACAGAGCAAATCTGAGAACTGTTTCTCCTTTTATTTTTGGAAGAAAAGCATGGCCTGTAAAATGTTAAAATGAGGCAAATGAATATTTTTTGCAAGTGAGGAAGAGAGTAGAGGCTTGCTTTCTTGAATAGTACTCGGGTTATTTTTAAGGTCTAACCTTGTTCGCTCATTAATGTCTGCCTGTCTGCTTTCAAGGGAAGAGAGGGTCTCACTTTTCCAAGAGATGAAAGCATCGAGGCATTTACCATGTAAACAATGCCAACACTTTCCTTTTGACTTAAAATGGGTTTTCATTTACTTGTGTAAAGGTTTGGGAAAAGGGAAATTGTTGGCTTTGGGGAATCGCAGCTGCCAGCTTTTGTGTTTCATAGAATGTTAACCCTTCAAGGTAGAGATCAAATGTTCAAGCAAATCATTTTGATGTGGATGAGGCCTCACTAAGCTGACTTTCAAGCTGCAGCTGAAATACTGGATTTCTCTTGAATGTAAGCAGTTCATTCTTTAAAAATATGCCAGACCATTTCGTTAAAGCTGTTAGACTTGCTAAAAAGCTGTAGCGGTTAATAAGCAAGATTTTTGACCACTTCTATCTAGTTGAGTTAGCTATCCTTTAATAAAGGGTCTTCATAGTTGCACAGTTTAAAATGCAGCCAGCCATCGACTTTACTTTTTGATGCTGAAATTGTTTTGAATGGAACGCAAAATTTTTGCTTTCCTTGTTTTCACAGTTCAGTGGGGATTGCCAACAATTTCAGCTGCAGGAGTAATAGGGATGCTTAGCGCAGTTGTTGCTAGCATTATTGAATCAATTGGAGATTACTACGCCTGTGCAAGGCTGTCTTGTGCTCCTCCTCCACCTATACATGCAATAAATAGGTAAGTTTCTTGGAAAAGAGGAAACAGCAGTGCTTTCTGTGCTGCCATAAGGGCTTTTCATTCTTGACAAAACCAGTACAAATGTTGGTATCAGAGCGAGTCTAGAACCTGTTGATCTGAAAGCTGAGGTTTTGCTTTAGTTGATCCGTTGCAGTGGAAAAACTTAATGTTTTAAATCTCAGTTCTACTCCAGCTGAAGTCAGTAAAATTAGATTTGCAGCTTCAGGAGGAAGTGCTTCCGGCAGCACTTGAAATTCCTAAAGTTTTGGGATTTCTCTCTTTTTCTGTAGTCATATTGAACTATTCCAACTTTCTAAATTCACTTTCTGGAATACAAAGTCTCGAATCCAAGTCTGCAAAGTGTTGAATTGAGCTGACAAATATAATGTTAGGAGTAGAGAATAATTCTGAGATTCAACATCTCTACTGCAGTATGTTTTTCTGAGTGATTTCAGGTCCATAAATGTCTGTGATGAGGTAAAGAGAGCCTGTTACAGTGGTTCACTCAGTCTGGTCTTAGAATGTTCTGTGGATCAGCTTTTTTGGGCAGAGACACAACATGTAATCACTTCATGAATCTTGATGGTTGAATGTTTTAATCTGCTTTTTAATGTTTTCCCTTTCATGGATTACAGAGGGATTTTCATTGAGGGTCTTTCCTGTGTTCTGGATGGAGTATTTGGTACTGGAAATGGATCCACCTCTTCTAGCCCCAACATTGGAGTTCTGGGCATCACTAAGGTACATGTTCTATTCTGATTGGACAGTTTTTCCTGGGTATCATTAGTCCTGTGGCATTAGCCTCATGCAGTTTGCATGGTTCATGGTATAACTCTGTACAGAGAAATAATATGATCTATATTGTGCTGCATATGGTAGTCTGAACTTCCTTGATTTGTTTCCACTGCCAGCCACTTACTTTAGAAAAGTGCCTTGCAGAAAAGGATCCTAAAAGCTTTCCTTTATATTTCTTTCAAAAAATGTTAAACGAATTTCAGGAGAGTGCCTGGAAAGAAACTAAGCCCTCTTGCAAGCAAAGTTCTTTTTACCCTTCCAAAAACTGGACAGACTAGACAAATGTCAGGGCTCTACAGTAGATAAGAATCAATGTCCTTTTGTGTGTCTGTTCTCTGAAAGAAGCAATAACAATGACCTGAATATTTTTAACCCTTCCTTTTGATATCCATGTTAGTACAATTCAGAGGCTAAAGCCTTGTCTAGCCTTTGTTGGTTTTTCAGCCTCGGGTGTAGTAATGTTCAAAAAACACCACCAGTGTCCATACCCAGTACTGTTGTAGTATATGCATGTCAGAGGTGTGCACTGGTCTACTTCTATCGAAGAAGCTACAATATATGTAAAAACTCAGTTAAGACGAGAATAAAGATGACCTTCCAACAGCTGCTTGTTCTTAGCTCCTTACAGGTTTGTATTGTGCTAGGCATGCTTTGGCTCTGAGTTCTGGATTATAGATTCCTGTTCAGCAGCTGATTTAAATAATGTGTGCGACTCGGCCTTTTGGCTACGATCAAGTGTGACTGGGGGGCTTCCAAACTCCCAGGCCTCTAGACTTGGGACTTGCACATGGGATGCCCATCTGGACAGAAGTGAGTGCCTGATCTCTTAGGCCTATGGGTCTGGGTGATAGAATAGTGGCCTGGTTAATGTTATGTGGTCCACGGATGTTTATAGATGCAGTTATTTGATTTGGATATTGGAAAACTTTAAAGTAAGGAAAACTTTGAGCACATGAGTAGGCCTTTTTGAATATTGGGACTGTTGGTATGCTGAGTTAGGCAGCAGCTGAAGTCCCTTATTGATTTGGAGAGGACCTTAGAGCACCCTTTAAGATTTGCTTGTATTCCATATTTTTAAACATGTTGATTTCATCAAATCAGTGTAAGTTATGCCATGAGTATAGATGCTTTTTGTTAAATATTTTGCATAAAAGATGAACACAGAATAAACTGGGTTTGTGATTACAAAGGTCAGAAACTATGCACTCCACTTACTATAATGAAGCTTTTAAAATTAAATTCAGTATCTAGTTTAAGGCAAGAGAGGCTTTATTTTTGGACATATCTGCTGAATTTTCTGGATTTTCTTCAGCCATTTTTCCTACAGGTATACACAGATGACAGTATAAATGCTAACAGCACCATCTAGTGATTCACTGTCTTCCTTCTGATTGATGGACACTTCCTACAGAAATGCGAATTATGAAAAGCATTAAATATGAAAATACAAATTAATATGACAAGTCAAAATAATTTTGTTTATTTTCATTAGAAGTCTGTATCCTAAAGTCAGGGTGCAAATGAGCACAGTTGGTAAGACCGTTACATTTTCAGAGGCTAATTAATGGTTCTGTTAATGTGATCGGCTGTGTTTTAAAACTGGGAAAGCCAAGATGATTGTAATGGCTGTGCAAGCTATGTATTAACAGGGGAAAATTCCAAGTGAAAGAAGCAGGTCATAAAATTTAAGAGCTCTGAAAATGAGAGATTTTATTTCCATGATGACTCCCAGTTCCCACGGGGTATGCATTTAGGGACTTTGTGCGTTTCACTGGGGAGTACAAAGTCTTCCTTAGCACATTGTCTCAGCCAGAGTAGCAAGTGCAGTGCATGGTGATGCCATGGAAGAGGACAGGCATTTAGTAGGCTCTGCTGGAAGATGAGCTCAAAAGAGAATAGAAAATACCATTTCAGGCTTTCCTGGTTGGAAAAAGGCATAAAGCTGGACTACATGTGTATTTCCTTTGCAGAACTGTACCCTTTCCTTTGTTCTCCATAGGTTGGAAGCCGCCGGGTTATTCAGTATGGTGCAGCCTTCATGCTCCTACTTGGAATGGTTGGGAAGTTCAGTGCACTGTTTGCATCCCTGCCTGACCCAGTGCTTGGTGCCCTCTTCTGCACTCTTTTTGGTAAGTAGTACAGTTCTTAGCTGCTCTTCATTCATCTGACTGTTTTTCCAGCATGTGACTTTGGTGGTGTGTATGTCTTCATATTAACTGACCATTAACAAAAAGGTAGGACTTCTGCAAGCTAAGACTTTGCTTTTCTGTTTTTGTTTTTTTTCAATTTAGGAATGATTACAGCTGTGGGGCTTTCCAACCTCCAGTTCATAGACTTAAATTCTTCCCGTAACCTCTTTGTACTTGGATTTTCCATCTTCTTTGGACTTGTCCTTCCAAGTTACCTCAAACAAAATCCACTGGTTACAGGTATGAACTTCTATTCTTTCATGTGCAATGCATCTTTTCTTTGCACTGTACATAAAACTCTCTCCCACCATGATTTATAGGCTAAAACAAGAGCAAGGGAAAACTGTAATAAATAAGAGACTAAGAGCCATCGGAAAAGCAGCAGGGGGATGAACAGTAAGTGAGGGGATGAGACTCATGCTGATTCTTCCGGAGGGGGTAAAGTTGAGGATTTCTGTGATTGAGATTGGACAGACCACTGCTAGTTGGGCAGGGAGAATAATGCATGAGATAAATCTTAAAATGTGGGAGTTAATGGTAAGCTCTGAGAGCCCTGTGGTGCTGTTTTCTCTTGCCACTGCAGTTGGTGAAGGAAACAACATTTTATTACAGACATTTTATTGGGCCAGTGATTTGTTTGCTCAAACCCATGGAGAAGCTTCTTTAATTTCTACCACCAATGGGATTAATTTCAGTGTGTTATAAAGAACTGGAAACAGCAACTCAGATATGCTGTTACAAACTAACTTTCTAATTGTGCTGCTGCAAAACCATATTCAGAGACTAATTTAGCCAGTCATTTGAGAGTTGGTTTTAAGGAAGGTTATTTAAATAAATAAAATAATAAATTAAAAACCATAGTACAGTAACCCATAGTGAATTAACCTTATACACTACTTGCCATTTCAGGAATGAAAGTTAAAAATAACGCTGTTTTAGTCATCGTGTTAAATTATGAAAATAATCTCTTATTTGTCAGTTTGACATTTTCCCTAGAACCTTTCCCCTTATGTTAATAAAGGTCTCTCTAATATAGATAACGGTACTTTATTTCTTCCTTATAATCTATCCAGAATGAATTCCTTAAGGCTGAGCATTCCACCTGATTTAAATCTAAAAGGGCAGACTGTAAAATGAGTATGTAAAGCACACACACTGGTCTCGGTTGTGGGGAGGTTCCTCTAAACTGTTTTCATTCGGGTTGGAAGGGGCGTATGGTGAGGTCACTAAAGTTGTTGGTGGAGATCAGGGCACAAGGGAGGGTATGCACATAATGAAAATTTGCCTTTGGATCTAATTCTCTTCTCTTCTCTTCTCTCTCCCTTTTTTTTCCCTACTCCCCCCCCCCCCCCCCCCCAACAGAGAGCTGCTAATATAATGCTTTTTTCCCCCCCCAGGAATAGCAGGCATTGACCAAGTGTTAAATGTTCTTCTGACTACAGCCATGTTTGTTGGAGGTTGCGTGGCCTTTATTTTGGATAATACCATTCCAGGTCAGCTTGGTCAAGTAATAATAATACTGTAATTAATAACTGTTTGACCTCTCATTCTGAATGAGTTGTTTTACTGTTAACTGGCGTGTCCATCCCTGAAAATGGTTCAGGGATAGGGACTTGGAACTGTGTACAGGACGAGACCAACCATGATTAACTGGGGGAAGTCCCTAAATATCCATATCTCAGTTATAACCCCATTAGCAGATCTTTGAGCTTTCATATGTCATTTTGTGCAAAGATGTATTAATGATTAAAAATAACACTAGGAAAGAGCAGATAGATTTAAGTAATTTCCTTTGTAGGCAATCATATAAGCCTGATCTTTGCATTCAAGTCGGTTGCAAAGCTCCCATTGATCAAGTCCCATAGTACAGAGGCTCTTCCTTGGTAACAGCAATTCCCTTCTTCCCTTTGTGGATGCTGTATGCTTTTCTAGGCTGATTGCTTATGGAATCGAATGCCTTTGAAATAAATCTTTTCCCTATCTATATATTTTTCAACTCAGGAAGTCCAGAGGAGAGAGGAATCCGGAAGTGGAAGAAAGGAGTGGGCAAAGGAAGCAAGTCTCTGGATGGCATGGAAACTTATGATTTGCCCTTTGGCATGAACTTTATCAAAAAGTACAGATGCTTCAGCTTCTTGCCCATCAGCCCTACCTTCATGGGTTACACATGGAAAGGCTTCAGGAAAAGCAGTAACTGCAGGAGTTCAGACGAAGAATCTGCAGCTACCGTATAGCCTTAGTTGAAATGATATTATCTAGTTGTAGTAAGAGATGTATTTGCAGTTTCTTGCTGATTAAGAAGCATTAAAATATATGTTTTGTATATTTGCATTTAAATTCTGGAACCAGAGCTGAGACGGATTTAAAAAAAAAAAAAAAAGCTTTCCTGTTGTGGATGGTGATAGCTAGATACAGTGTCTCTGGGTGAAATGTCTAAAAGCTTTTTACTTTCTGTTTTAAAAGAGATTCAGGTTCCTAAGTGTCTGTGTCTTTTCTGAACATTGAACTTGGGTTCCTGAGTCATTGAGGTGCTTTTGAAAAAGTGTAATGATTGCTTTATTATGGTTTTATTTAAATCATTGATGCTGGCATTTTTGGCGCATTCATTGCTGGCAATGTTAGTTACGCCAGAACATTTTTGAATCCTCATGTGAAAGGAGTAAATTTTAATTCATTCATAATTACTGATGTCAAGATCAGATATGTTGTATTTTTTTTCCAGCTCGTACATTCCATATTTTGCTCCACAGATACCCGTGGATTAGATTTGATATTATTCTGGCAACCGACTGGAATACCTTTCCAGTTACAGATAGTGAATTCAGAGATTTCCAGTAGTAAAATAACAATTTCCTTACTCAATTACCCTACATGAAAGCGCACTGGCTTAACTATAGAAGTGACTACTTGACAAGAACCACTTGTATCCTGAGTGTGTGGGGCTTTATTTTTTTTTTTAAATGTTTCCTTCTTTCTGACTGGCAACTAATGACCTGACCTAGTGCCTGAGTACAAGCTCTCTCTCAAAGGAAATGCCAGCTTCATTCTTACATGTCTGTGAAAGGGGATGACTTCTAGAAGTGACACTTTGCTAGCAGAACAAGGCGCATAGCTGTGTTGATCACAAACGCCTACCAAATGAAATGGTGAATTTGTCTAAGCATTTCATGTTTGTTCTCGCATATGAGCCTTTACGTATAGAATCAGGTAGTGGGATACTGTCAGCATTTGGTTATTCTGACCCAAACTAAATTCTTTTTATCCCACTCTGACTATCCTGGTCAAATGTTGTCTGAGGGGCCTATGTTTATGTATCCTGTTTTCTTGCTTTGGGGGCCCTTGATTTTTATAGCCAGTCTTTCTAATGGCAGAGACACTACATCGGACATCATCATCCACTGGATGGTTTAACGGGTACTGGGCCAGTCAAAGGCACCATTCAGATTTTTTTCCTGAAATAGTCTCAGCTCTGCTGTTTATGTGGATGGTTAATGCTCATCATGCATCCATGCTTACAAGGTTTTATTCATGTTTAATGTTCTTACTATTGCAAGTTAGTTTTAGACATCAGTGTTTCAATGTGGCCCCAAAAAGCATTTTTAAGCTGTGGAGATCATCAGGGAGGCGTAGTGTAACGTACTCTTAAGGCCAGTATACTCTACGGTGCTTGCGTTTTGTATCTCTGGATAAAAATAATGGTAGATACTGTAATTCACTAATATTTATCAAAGCTGACTACTGGACAAGAGCACAGGAACTCTGTTGTTTCCTGAGTCTACTTCTAGGTAAAACTTGTTGTTGGTTATTGAAGCATGGAAGGGTTTGGGGGTGGGGGAGGGGAAAAAAGGAACTTAATGGATCAGTATTGCTTAGTGCAGAGTGGGAATGTTTCCATTGATATAATTTTCGGCATGTCACAGCTGATTCTGTAACATCTCTTACACAGCTGTTTCCATATCAGAATATGTTTGTGCCTGCTTCAAGGAACTTTCAGTAGTTTGCAGCCTTGGTATCAGTAGGACTTTCTTGAAAGCCTGTGAGAAGAATCACTGCGTAACAGACGAGGTGATATCTGTTACAGGGCAGACTATTCATGTGTTTTATATTTTGTTTGTCGGGCAATGAGGCCTTAGGAAATTTCCCCTTCCCCCAAGGAACACTGTTTGCTGAGAGCTCTGAACAGCAACACTAAGCTTCTAAACTTTCCACCTCTTTATTTTATATGCAACCAAGGATGGGGCAGGTGGAGGAATTAAAAAATAATCACCTTTTTAGATTGGTTCTAATCATGTCAAATGATGACCAGAGTTGGTTATCTTTTAAATGCAAGGAGAGGAAGGTAATATCGAGAGTTTAAAAACAGACATCTAGATGCTCAGAATCCGGAAGAACAATTTACACAGTGGACACGACAGTAAAACTCATGGTGAGGCCAGCCTATCATTTGGCAGAACTATTCTCATGGTAGCATTCATGGATGATGCGGTAGCAGACACAGCATCGAAAAAGCCAGACATTGGCAAGAACTAGCATTTTTTTTAGGAGATACTTTTTTTGAATGAAGCAATCTCTGTAAACTCTAAATTGGTTGCCTTATCTTTTCTCTAACATGCTGTAAAGGATGATCACATTGTATGTTTTTAAGATCATGTACTACTTCAATTAAATCACAGCTCAAACATTATGATTCTGAAAGCTTGTCTTTTTTCAATGCAGAATGTTCTTTCACTTCTTTCCATGATGGAAGAAGTTATTTCGGACTAGGAAACACCAGAGATATTTTGTGTCTGATAGAAAATTATGATTTGATTTAATTATTTGCCTTGCTTTCTGGTTCTACCGCACTGATTCTGGTGACTGACTAACAGAAGTTTGGTAAATTGTATATTGGAAGATTACTGTGTTGAGCCAGCATGCCTTGGCTTGCTAGCCATTGAACATGGCAACCCTAAAACAAGCATTTAATATGGCCGAATCGGGCATTTTGTAACCATAACCCTTTAATATTAAACATTTGTGAAGGTGACTCCTTGAAATCTTTCTTTAAGGAAGTTAATTGGGTAGAGATGAGCCTTAATGTTTGCAAGGACAATGAAAGGAGATCAGATGAAACCTGACTTATGGCCAAGGTGTATAACAATTTTCCCTAGCAGACAAGTGACACATAATGTTTGGGCTGTGACTGCAGAACCCCGAAGAATAGGTATGTCTTTTTTTTAATCTTTGCAGGTAAAAATAGGTTAGAGCTCATGTGCACAGTTTTGCCTTGCAAAGGGAAATTCCCCTTTCTTCAAGTTTTTGCTGTTCCTGAGAACAATTTAGAGCTGCCAATCAAAGAATATGAAGTGCAGCTCTTTCCTTTTCTTTGTAAGGGAGGTGTTCAGAGTGCCCTCAGGTTGGTTCGTTGGGCGGGTGGCGGCGGCGGGTGTTACTGTTATGGCAGGGTGTCCTCCCACTCACCCTTCAGATTTGAATTAAAGTCAGAATGGCATCTTCCCACTCACCCTTCAGATTTGAATTATAGTCAGAATGGTATCTGCAAATTTTATTGATGCCATTTCAGTGTGAGAGACAGTTTACAATGTAAGATGCTGTGGTATCAGCTGCTCAGAGGTAGATGTATTGCAGACTTTGACTCTGCAATTCTGAAAAGTTGAATACTTAATGTTTCTTGTTTACGTATGTGCTGTGTGTGTAAGCCGGGAGGAGAGGGGGATGGAAATACGGCTGTTAATGCAATACTGTGTCTTTGCTGTGTATGTCATTGCCCGCATTTTGAACTGCTAAATTAAACAGTACCTTGTAAAGAAGATGATGCTGAATAGATGGGCTAGAAGGAAATATCTTTGAACCAAATTTAAGTATAGAAAGGCAAATATTCATGGCAAAAAGATCATTTTGTCATATCAAAGGTGGTATAAATCTGTTGAGAGCAAACAGGACTTTTGTAGCCAATATCCTATTGTAGTATTCTTTGGTTAAATTAAGAACTCCTGCTAACCTATTTAAGTGCATTTTCTGAATAGCACACTTTAAAAATATGCCTTTAAATTGATTTTTAATAGCATATTTATCTGTGGTTGACTGACTAATAGCATTAGGATGTGCTTGATGGACTAGCCGGATTAGTAACCTGTTGCAGAAAGCATGGTTTGTTTGTTTGATTGTTTTCCATTTAAACCCAGGAGTTAGTTTATACTTTTCAATACTGACTTTCAATATGACAACTTGGTTCATACATGAATATTGCAGTATTTTATTTCCATATATTAAAAATAACATTTCCACTCAGGATAATTATCACATTTCCTGGGAGGGAGTGGTATGATAGTCATGACAGTGTCATGTGATGATAGAATTTCTTCATTGACGAATCTATAGTAGTTGTGTATACTTTGTTTACCCACATTTATGTTATTACTGAAAACTAAAGAGCTTCTTATGGTTCACCTCCCTACTGAAATACTGGTAGTCACAGAGTTGACTAAACTCCTGCAAAATTAAATCCTCAGTACTCCTTAATACCACAAAAAACATTTAAGAAAGACCAATCAACTGTAATAATGCCTCCATACCAAAACTGTATTGAAATGTTCTGGTTGGTTAGTACCATGTGTGGTATAACCAGCACTATGAGCACATACAGTTAAAACAACTGCCTTCTGATGGTTTAAGTTACGTGTTGAATATTGTACACGCAATTCAAAAGCAGCTTGTGCTAGCATAATTTATACAAATGCACGGCAGACCAGCACAACCTGATGTCTTTTTTTTTCAGTGGCCTTCTTAAACCAAATGTCTTTGTGTTTCGGGTTTTTGGTTTTGGGGTTTTTTCCGGGGGGGGGAATTGCTAAAAAGGGTTACTCTTTACAGAAGATGAATGAGTGATTGGTTTCCCTCTTGTTACACATGCCATACTACTTCTTGCTACGGATTATTATCATTCCTGGACATGGGATAGTATATGTTCCATGCTTTCACATTTACCTAGCTGTAAAGTAGGTCATTACAGTATTGGAAAGAGGCCACAGGTTTGCCAGTATTGAGCTTCTGCCCATGAGTCCATACAGCTTAGTGCTGGGCTGCTTTAAGTATTGGGGATACATATTCAGCAACATCCAAAACATTCCTGTTCAGTTATAATTTTCTTGTGACTGTGCATTGTCATCTGTACATATTAATATCAGAGATGTATTTAGAGTTTGCCTTGTGTATTATCTGGCATTTATTACAACATCTTTCCAGGTAAGCCATCTTACTGCCAGTCCAAAATATTGTACTTTTGTCTGTTTATAACAACCTTTGGCGTAACAAACTATTGACTGTTCTTAGACAGTGGGGATAAATATTTTTTTCCATGAGTTTTTTGTGACTGACTTGGGCTGTAAACCTTTTATTCTTTTGTTACATAACAAAGGGGGTTTTTGTTGTTCTTGTTTCGAGATGTGTAATTCTTTTATGGAGTTTTTAAAAAAAAAAAATCATATTTTGTTTTTTCTAACATGGCTTCTTTAAACGTTTAAATATTTAAAAATATGTAATATTTGGACCAGATGTTGTGAATAATAGTAGATAAAGCTATTTTATTCTGTATTTTTAAAGCTGTTCAGTATAAATAAACACGGGCATAGCTGCAACCTAGTAGTTTGGGTGTTGTGTTCATTTTTTAAGAAATACGGAACCTGTACAAGGAAGAGCCATGTGTTACTATTCTGGCAAGCTGGAGAAACTTCAACACAGATTGTTTGCACACTTGCTGAGCAAATAACATGGGATCTGTAGCTGCACTGTTCTGTTAAGTGTTCATGAGGGATTGCTTGGAGAATGTCTACACTGCCAAGTTACCAGCAGTGTCCTCCAACAAGCTGTGCTGCTCCTTGTGTAGTCCTTCCCCAAGTTAGCTATCCTAGTTGTTGAGAATTGGGGCAAAAAGACCCCTTGCCTTGAAGCATCTGAACGTTTGCCTCATTTCTGTCAGCATCCCATGTCACAGACTGGTTGTCCACATGCACATTTCTCCATAGCATGATTCTAGTGCAAGAACCCATCGCTTGCAGGACCTTGGACAGCTACTAATTGAGAGGATGGGTCCAGAGGGATTCCTGGCCCCCACACTTCCTAACTCCTGCTGCAGAAACTTGTGACACTTGACAAGTTAGTTCCCTTAAGCTGGAGAATGTCTCTGTAACACACTCGTGTAGCATCACAGCTTCCCACGTAAGCAATGGTAACATTTGCTTTGGCATGTTGTCAAAAAAGCCTGGTCTTGAGGACAGCAGGATAACAAAACAGCTCCCTGTTATAGACTGTGCTACAAGTGCCCTATCGATCAATTGAGATGTGATTGAATAGGTGGGCTCAACAAGCCTATGAATGCAAGTGAACAGCAATACATTATGGAGCTTGATCATTCAAGCTCAAGAGTTGAGTCAGGAGCCTGGGGGTGCTATTATTTGGTAGCCCTAGTAGAGCCTGTTATCAAGGGCTTCTGAGCACCCACAGTTCCAGCAGATGAGGAAGGGAGAGAGGCTTCTGCTTTTCTAAGGATAATTAATCTACCATCTTCACTGTCTTCTCTTCTAGAAGTCCTCTCCTTTTCTTGCAATGTGCAGTGAATGGGCTCTGGCTCAAATGCTGTCTGGTAAACAAATCTCCCAGGCTAGTGGTAGAGCCAGGAATGTAACCCAAGTCCCTGAAGTCCTAGTGTTTTTCCTAGGGCACACTAATTCTGCTATATTCCTATTTATTTTACCTTCTGCTCCATTTTTAACCCTCATCTTTGCTCCCCCAGTCTTGCACCTATAGTTCAGCTGGTTAAAAATTGCCTCGTGAAGATGAACCAATATGTAAAAATGGAATTTCTCTTTCTGTCTTTGTTCGCACACTCGCAAAAAAGCTTCCTGGAACTGTGAATTAAGGAACTTCAAGGTGCTGTTACTTGAGAAGTGTGCCAGCTTCTGAATGCAGATTTGTTGATAGAGGTGTGCTAGTCAAGTATCTGTGAGTCCAGTGCATGGTTTTGCTTTGCCCTCCACTCCAAAGGCACAAAGTAATGCAAGGGAAATTAAGTTCTGAAGGTTAAGAGCCTGGTATCAACTTGCATTGTTCATAAGTTAATCAGCTCTTATGTTCATACTTAGAACTGTATTAGTAGAACCCTGACATACAAATAGAGCAATTACTTTGGTGTCCTCTACAGCTAGAGTATTGACTTAAATATATTGAGACATTAGCCCCTGGGACTGGGGCACAAAAAGGTATGATAGAAGTTAACTTTCTAGAAATAAGCTGGTGATGACTTCCAGTATATTAAGGATCATGAATTCTTGGCACTTAAGTATCAACTGTCTTGTGAGGATTAAGTCTGTGTTGCAAACAGTAAGCCATTAAGCCCTTGCATTATGGTGCCATTATTACAGATTAAAGAATGAAAACACAGAAAGGTTTAAAGCTAAGATTTTTTTTCAATCTTAGGTTGCCCAAAGGTGCTGGCTGCTCTATTCGGGTAGGTACCTGTCTTGCTTTGGAAAGCCCGGCTATTTAGTCCAAATTAACCTGTGCAAAAGAAGGGCAGAACTGAGAATAGAGACCAAGTATCCTGTCTGCTTGTTCCAGGCTGTCTTTTGTAGTAGCAGATGTTACAGGGAGCTTAGGAACTGATGTGCATTTCTACAGCACTTCTGAATTGATCTTTTTTCTTCTGGAAGGTCTAAATGGTTTGTTTTGTTTTTTGTTTTTTTTTTTTGGGGGGGGTGGGGGGGGGTGGGGTGTTAATAGTGGTAACTTTCCTTCCCTGCCTTTCCAGTCACTTATGGTCATTGATGACTAGCTTTGGGTCAAATGGCCATGCTGATGCTTCTTTAAATGTATATGCAACTCTAAGCCCACTGTAAGCGTATTAGCAAGATGGTTCCCTTAAAAACCTTTCTCAATACCTTTAGGCAGTGTCCCTTGCATTGCATTTGCCACCAGAGCCATGGAATGAGCTCCTAAGGGCGGGAGAGGAAATGGTGAATGTTGGAGCCAAAGGGTCCAGTACTAGCAGGTCAGCAGCAAGAGTTGAGATGATCTCTCTTGATTCCAAGTACGGTAGCTCCCTGCTGTGTCATGAGGCTGAGTGACTACAGTGGAGACTTGGGAAGTCTGAAGTGTTTGGCCCCCTGCCTTTTTCTGTGCCATTTTCAAGGGTTCGCTTACTCACAGCTGGACATAGACTTGTTTGCCCCTTATTAGACATTTGGGATGGAAGAGAAACACGCCTTTCAGACACCTTTTGATGAGGCAGTTACTTAGGGGAATGCATTAAAGTTTGAGAGGGGCTCAGACACTGCAGTAGTGGGGGCATGAGTGCCGTAAAGAGGATTTTGTTCTGTTCCCAAATAGTAACAAATAATCCTGCCCTGAAAGTGCCTAGAGGGAGTGCAGTAGAAAAAGTGCTTAAGCAAAATCAGGAGTTGCGAGTGGTGTGTTCTTTCTTGTACAGTAGCATCTCACAGCTGCAATGAAGATTGCGCTCATGGTGCAAGGGTGCTGTACAAACACACCCAGAGACAGACAGCCCCTGGTTGGGAGAATGTGCAGCTAAAATAATCAGTGGGTGGGGAGATGAGGCAAAGGAAGTTAGTCACACAGCAGGCTGGTGGCAGAGCTAAGAATATTCTCCCAGGGCATATTTGGAGCACCTTGCACTTGCAGTGCTCTTTCCACAGCAAGAATTTGAACCACTCCTGATATGGAACAGGTGCAAATTCATAATGTGCAATATAGCACTGGGCGCTAGATCCTTTCACCTACCTGCATGTGGAACTGCCCCGATGCCTGATCTTTTTTTCTGGTGTGCTGTGTGTGAAAACAAAATGAAAAATTCACTAAGAACTAAAATGAAATGTATGTGGTGTTGTCCCCCCCCCCCCCCCCCCCATTTTACTCAGTGAAACAGTGTTTGAAGATTACCTTTAAATGTAGTCTTTTGAACATAGAACCCTTGGAAGACTGTATTTAAAATTGAATTTTGGCAATTTTACCATAGAGATTTTTCTTCTCTTTAAATTGTTTACTTTCTTCCTGTGTTTTTGTCTGTGTTGCACCTGTTGGCTGACCTCAGCCTGAATATGCAAGTATTTTCAGTTCCCCAAGGTCTTCATTTTGGAGAGAATTAACTCTTTGCTGAAAGGTTTCACCTCACACGGTGCAGGAACTGTGTTTTAAAGAATACACATTTTGTACAAGCCTTTTGCATTTTAAAAAAAATGTATCGCTATTATTACCATCTGGTTCCTGGAGACAATGTAACAAGTAACACATGCTCCTAAATAACAACTCTCCCAGAGCTGAATGTTTCTTGTTACTTAAGGACAATAAGTCTGGTTCTGAAAGTCCTAAATGAACAGCCTTTCCCAGGAGGCTCTGAAATAAGCTTGTTTAGATCCTGGCTCAATCTAAGAAAAAGCCCTTGAGTTTTCAACTCCCGTACCAAGGACCAGAATTTCTTAAGTGCATATTCGGTCGCTTGGCAGGCAGCCTAATGCTCAAGCCATGAAACAAAGCAGCCATGTCTCCTGCAGGAAGAGAAGACTTCCAGAAGCTAGCCTTGATTTGTTTCTGCATCTGGACACCAGCTGTGCAAAGGGATTGTTCCCTCCTCCCGTCCCCCCCCCCCCCCCCACACACACACACACGCGCGCGCACACACACTTTTGATCCCACAAAATCTTTCCTATTGCTGAGTCCAAGGTGACAGCAAATCACTCCCTAGACAGCATAGGCCAGATTAAAGCAGCCTAGGGCTTTAACCTGGTCCTAGGCAGATAAGTCCCCACACCAGGACTCAAGAGGCACAGTCGGTTTCATTGGCATCCTTTCTCTTCTTAGGAGTGGCATCAGAGGTCTTCCTTCTGGGAGTTTGGCAATCAGTGGCCCTTTGGGTATGCAGACTGTTAGCACAGAGAGGTAGGCTGGATGGGTTGCGCTCCTTGTCCCTGTTACACAAACAGGGTCTTTAGATGGGGTAGTGTTGACAGAGCTACGCAGGGCAAAAGGTCTTGGAATTAACATCCCTCAGAGCTGCTGTTTCAGGCTCTCAGCCAACTCAGGCAGGCATCTGCATTTTTCTTAAGCAGCACCTGAGTGTCCAAGTTCCCTTTGTGCTGAGATTCTGGTGCATTTATGAGATGCCAGGAAACAGAGTCCTAAGCATGGAGCTAGAGTACTTGTGGCTTAATTTGGTGGCACTGTAGCTTCTGAACCTGTATGGGCAGAATCCGGGGACATCCCAACAGAGTAGGAAACGGTGATGTCATGGTTGACTGGAGATGTTGATGGGTGGCTCTTCCCTTGAGAGCTGTGACTGCGACAGGTGTGCTCAGC